GACAACTGTAGACACCAGAGATAGTGTGAGAAGAGGGTGGGAAAGAGCAGAGGGTCAGACATAGGGGTAAATATATATATTTAAATATATATATGATTAAGCCACTATGCAGTATATTCTAGATGGGAAATCACATTTTGCATGCTGTGACAATGCTCAGTGAATGAATGTAAATTAATCAATTTAAAATTAAAATAAAATTTAGGATTTACTTTTTTAAGAAGAAGCAGCCCTACATGTTCAAAGGCAGAATGAAAGGACGATTTTTCATTTAGACAGAGAAACTGGATTTACTGGTAAAGGAAGCAATTTAAATGACACCCGGAAATGCAGGTCCTCTCCGCAAGGAACTCACAAATCGAACACTCCCATCAGGATAAGTCCTTTTGTAAAACAGAAAGAATTACTAGAATTTGACAGAACTTGAGACATGCAAGAAAATAAAGATTCCTAAAAAGGTGAACCACTAACTTCCAAAAGAATTCAATGACTTGGAATATGTGATAATTATTTTCAGAAGAGTTTTGGTGTATTTACTTCAGAAAGCTAAATAAGGTTAATGCCTTAGGAATGATCATAATTACTTTTTTTTTCCTTCATGAAGGAAAGAAGAGATATCAGGTAAGACAAAGACAACATGTCTACACCTGCAAAAGAGAAATAGCCTGTTTAGCACAAAATATCCTTTCAGATGAAGAACCTGGTACAAGCTCCTTATGAGGTTTAGTGGAGCTAACTTATACTACAGCACAAAACATAGGTATTCAGAAACGAGAAGTTATTGATTATGATTATCTTAAGACATGAACTTCTAAGACATATAATCCTACCTCATACAGTCAATTCAAAGGCGTGGTCACCTAATTATTTGGAATTCGAGTCTTTATTAAAAGCCACTCTAAAAAGGCAGGCAAGAATTCACATGAAAAGATGTTCAGCATCATTAGTCATTAGGAAATGCAAATGCAAACCACAAGGGATACCACTTCACACCCACCAAGATGGTTATGATTTTACAAAATGTAATGATGAAGCGTTGATGAGAATGTAGAAAAAGCGGGACCCTTATATATTGCTGGTGAGAATGTAAAAGGGCACAGCCACTGGGGGAAACGGACGGGCAGTTCACCTGGAACTACCATGTGACACAACAACTGCATTCCTAGCTATAGAGTCAAGGGAAATGTAAATGATATATTAACTTTGGGAGACACAGTAGCATCATAGCAATGACATAGCACTGACATAGCACTCCTGTGGTATATGACAGCTTTTTTCACTTCATGCTGAAAGATTCAATCCTGCAAACAGTACATGTCGAGGCACGCCAAGATAAAAAGGGAGGAGGCTCCATCCCCTCTAGTAGAGGAAATGGGCTGGGCCTGAGACTGGCCGAGGGTGCAGTCCCTGGCATCACTTAGGGGACCATGTATAAACTACTGAACTGTCTGAGCTTCAGGTAAAGTGGAACAAATATATCTGAACTTGCAGAGTTACTGTAAGGATTACAAATAGTATATATATAAAAAAAAAAGAAAGAATACATGTAAATGCATTTCATGGTGCCTCACACCTATTAGGTAATTGACGGGGGTAGTTATTGCCGTCATTATCATCCTTATTTACCACCTCATGCAGTGTTCCAGGCGGTTTGCAGTAAAACCTCTGATATTTAAATGGCTGTTAGTGCTAACTTGTTAATAGCTAACTTAAAGCACTTTGCTAGTAAGGTCAAAATAATAGGTCCAATTCCTTTGCACCAGTGAGCTGTTGCATGGCTACAAATGCTTTGCACTAGCCCGCTACCTCATGGTGTATCTCAGTAGGCAGAAAGCAGGATAACAGAGCATTGGTGGACCACCGTAAGCCATCACTATAGAGAAAATGCACTCAAAGTGCATGCATTGCAGGAAGCATGGCAACATTAATTTCCTTTAGGAGAACCAGCCATCTTAGCCAATTGTAAGTAACAAAGAACATAAACCAGAAAGAGCTTCAAAGCTAACTGATAACTACTGAGCAGTGGTGGTGGCGGAGGAGGGGAGTGGAATAACTAAACCACTAATTAAAACTAACTAACTAAACCACTAACTAAAACTAACTGTAGTTAAATCTCAACATAGCAGTCCTTAAAATCCTTCTAAAGTGTAAACTCAAGTCATGTAAACCTTCAATCTAAAGCTATCTTCTCATTTCACACAGAGTGAAAGTCAAAGCCCTTCTAATGACCATATGGCTCCAATGAGCTGGTCCTGTCCTCTCTGCTCAACTCACGGTGTATTCCTCACGGCTTCTCATAGTACACCAGACAGGCTCAGGGCCTTCGCACTTGCTGTTCTCTTTGCTGGGAAAAGCTTTTCTATAGATGTTCCTATTGCCAATTGTCTCTCTAGCTCTCTGCTCAAATGTCACCCTAATAAGACCTTTTCTGGTTACGGTAGTCTAAAATATGGCATGGCCTCTCCCCATTCTCTTAAAAAAACTTTCCCTGCTTTGTTTTACTATCTGACAAACTTATATGTGAGAGGGTCTTCAAAACCTTCATGGAAAAAGCATAGTACAAAAAGAACTACGTATGGATTTTGAATTTTTTTGCACCAAAATAAACATAATTTCATCTTTCATCAACTTTTTTCCTCTTTCTTTCTTTAAGTTTATTTTATTTATGGTATAGAACCTAGGCATGCACATGAGAAAGAGGAAGACAAAGAGACAGACACTCTCAAGAAGGTCTGTTCACTCCACTATTCCTTCCCCCCAACCTTCCAGCGTGTCAGGATACCAGGCACCTGCATGTGACTGCTGTGTTTCAGGCCAACCAGGGATCTGAACCCACAGTCAACTCTGGAATCCACAGTAAACTCAGTGACTCTGGCATTGTATTTCAGTTTGCTACTGATTATGCCACCACAGGGGCCTTCACGAAGGTTCTGATGGCCTCTCATATACATTATTTCTTCTCGGTTGCCAAGTAGCATGGGATCCATGAAGACAGATTTTTGTCTTTTTTCTACTGCTGTATTCCTAGTGTCCAGAGAGTCTGGCTGAGAGAGTAGGTGCTCAGTAAATATTTGTGAGATGAATGCATATTTATACATTCTAAGTGTCTTTATGAACTAACTCCACAGAGCAAGTGAACATGTTTGCTAGCCCAGGAGTGCACTTAACAGCAAACTTACTCAGCTGGTGCTCCAGGAAGCCACTGCTCAGAGCCAGATGACCCATGGCAGTCCCTGAGAGAGATTTCCATGATCTCACACACGACTGATGGGTCTCGCTTTACAATATTCAGACCCAACAGTTTTTCCTTCCATGACTTATGGCATGGCATATAGTTTCTCTAAAAAAAAAATAATACTTTTTGACATTGGATTAATTCCTAAGCAGGTCTTTGAGAAAATCATGACTTTGTCTTGGGGAACCACATGAAAGTGTAATCCCCTTCCATTAGATATGCACTTAACTAGGTAGTCTGGTTTTTGGAATACATTCAGTCCAGGATCTTATTCCTAAGGTTTCTTAACATTATGAATTAGGTATTCAGTCAACAATCACAGAGCATCTACTCTCCATGTCCTCTTCAGTAGCACCTTAAAGAAGCTACTTGCAGAAAAGTTCCTAGGTGTTCGGTACTCTAAATATGTTAACCCTATCTTTGGATCCGCTTGCACAGAAGTCTAATATGTGGACCAATCTGCAAAGCCCCTCAGCAAATAGCTCCAATAATGTTTGCCTAAAGATTCTTATAAAAATCATTTGAAAGTAAAGCCAAACCTGAGAAACTTCTTAAGCATTCAATCAAAGTAGAAGCATTATTTCCTTTGAGGAATGGCTATGTTAACCTCTTTGGGATAAAAATCATATTACAGATCAAGTATCCCCTCTCTCTGCTCTCTCTCTCTGTCAGTAAACCTAGAGCAAAATCACCACCACACGCAATAGCACTAACTCTTTGAATGGCACACTCTATTCTTCACTCAACCCCAATTCCATCTTCTGATTTCATATTTTTCATTTATCATTTCAATGGAAATATTCTGTATCAGTGCCTCAAAATCATATGGAAGAGACAGAACATGAATAAACAAAGTAACTGTCACCATTAAGTCAACAGCAATGAATGAAGTCAACCTGTTTCTAACCAACCGCTTGTAAATGTGCTACAGCAGGAAACATCTAGGAGGCTGTCAAGAAGGATAATAGGATGCATCAACAAGAGAAATAATGAATGTCCTTAGAAATTTGCAAAAGGCTCATGGTTATATTCTTGAGTTGGTCTAAGTGCCAGCTAGGGGGACAAAGACTAAATGACTCTGAAGATTCCTTACATCTGTGACTCCAGAGCATTGTCACTCAGAAATACCAACTATTCTAATACAAAAGAAAATAACTGAAAGGTCCTCAAATAGGCCTTAAACTTAGCTCGGATTTGCTACCATTGTTCATGCTGATGAGATGGACTTCAGAAGTATTCCAGAGAGGCCTGTGCCCAGTTGGCTGTAGTAACAATTGCCTAGACAGGAGAGAATCCCAACCACTTCCTAAAGATTTCCAAACATAAATCAGTTGTTATTTTTAACTACCTAGCTTCTAAGTCTCCAGGGGTAACTTTATCTGATATGAATAATCATCCAGGGAGACTTCCTCTTCTTCAGAAGTCATCCCAACTAGCATTTTAGGCAACTCAAAAATAATGCATAATGCTTTCCATTCAATCACTTCAGCCTACCTTCATATTTATCATCTTGCTTGTCTTCACAATCTCTACTCCATGACAGCCCCCAGAGGACAGCATCTGATGTCAGAGGCAGACTATGATCCTGAAAGCCCACCTGATTTCCCCAGGGATAACACTAGAACTGTCTTACACTCATAGGCCCCAGGGTCTTTCCAGAATGTTACATGGCCATGCAAGCTGGTTTCTACTTTCACAGTTCAGCTAGATTATATAAAGGAACAACATATTCACTCTTACCCTTTCCTATATGCCTCCTGGTATTTTCTATTGTTGAGTTTCTGTTTACATTAGAAAGAAGTCCAAGACAAAATCTGTTCCTGTTATTGGAAGGGTCAGTGAATCCATCTATGAGCACACTTCGGGAGGAAGCCTGGAAGGTCTCCCCAACTCGGTTGTTCAGTTCATAGTAGGCCACTGAGCACCAGTGCTGGGGCTCCTCGTAACAAACTGGTCGAAAGTCTGAAAGAAAACAAACCAGACAGCACATCACTACTGTCACACCAGGGCTTCCTAGCTCAGGATTCTACCAGGAGACTCAGATTAATGCTTTTGACCAGAAAGCTGCTTGCATGACCACAGAGACTGCTTTGCAATCTTTTGAAACCTGTCCCCTTTAATGGAAGCAGTTTGGGGTTAGCTTATTTGGTTAGTGCACCTGTGGTGCGGAGCCCATGATCCTTGTTAATCTTCCATGTTTAGAGCACTTGTAAACATATTTATTAGTGATGAAAGAGCCAGGAAAAAGATGACATGAACACATCTATGTAAAAAATTGTCCGTAAAGACAATGCAGCTTAAAGGAGGCTGGAGATCACTTCTTGCTTATATATGGAAGATAGTATGTTATAATACCATTATGTGCCAAACTGAATCCCTGTGGCATAAAGTATCATTCTTTTACAAGCCAAAATGAAAAATAATAGTTTGGATATAACTTATTTATTTAAGAAAAAGGAAAAAAAAAACCTCCCACATAGAGGAGTTCACATTCCCCTTTGTGTACATATGGGATATCTAGTTATGGAGGGCTTACAAATAATTTAAAGAGATCTGGATATTTCATTAGGAAACCCATGAATGTTATGTTTTCACCTCAAATTTTTAAAGTTTGTGAATTAAGTTCAGAGTTCTTTCTTTCTCTGTCACACTCTTTTTTCTTCCTATTGATATTATCTTTCTTTTCCATGAATATCCTAATTCTTATATCTAGGGTGTGCATCTATATGTATTAAAATGTAAATTTATGAAACAGATAAATTAGGTTATTACTTAATCTACCAAAGGTCTTCACTTACAAAAGAATACTCTGAGAACTTTAAATAGAATCTCCCTGCTCAAAATGTAGCTGATAAAACAGTAGCCTCTGCATCACCTGAGAGCTGGTTAAGAATGTGGTTCTTGTTAAGCATGCAGAGCTTGTTAAGAATGTTACATAAAGATTAATATTGGGCAACACTTAATAACTGATTATAAGATGAAAATAAAATTTTATAAAAACTCTATTTAAATATATTTTTAAGAGTAATATGTTTCTTTAGCCAAATTAAAGACACTACTATTAACCTAAAAACACTAATAGAATCAGAGCTAACAGGTGGCATGGAGGTTAAGGTGCTGGATCCCATATGGCTGACTCTATGGCTCAAGTCCTCGCACTGGCAGCATGAAGAGCATGCCAGACACACGTGTGTGCATGCCTAAAATCTTGAGAGAAGAATGGAGGAGAAGGGAATGCACAGTGGTCATTTCTCCAGGTAGTGATTTCTCACTTTCCTTTTCTCTCTGTCTCTTCCTGGCTAATGCACGTGCACAATGGCAAAAATTGAAAAAAAAAAAATTAATGGAATTAAATCCCTAGCTTTTATAGCTACCAATTCCATATTAAAAATCAAGAACTACCAACTTCTAAATGCTGATTTAAAATTAAAAATTAACTTATTCTAGTAACCAGGATGGTAAAACATTCTATGGTACTGAGAAATGCCAAGCTTAAAATGCAAAGCCAGACTATTTGCCTTTTAAAACACATATGAAATAGACCAGCACATCTTTGCTTTGTCTTTTGATATGTTTGTTTGGGGGGGTAACAGGAAACACTCTTGGAAAATAACTACATTTAGTTGTTCATCTGCAATTTACCTCTGTTAGGTATTGATAGCACTAAATGACTATCAGTTGTGGCATCTACAGGTCGGCCATTCTGGGTCTCTGGGGCTTCTGTGGCATAAGGCGGGGGTGGTGTATCAACTAAAAGAAAGCAGTAGAACAAAGGAATCATCAAACTGATAAACTACAAAGACAGTTGGGTCCGACCTTTTTTGCCACTAAACTCCTGGGCTTGGGGGACAGTGGTACTGCTAAAGAGAGACCATACTGATCTAACAAGGCTCTTCTGAAGTGAGCCTGTGCGCATTCTTCAGAAATCAGGTGGACTGAGATTCTCCAGTCCAACTGGAAGGGTTGAATAGTTTTCCCTCTGACTTATGCATTACCATTGATCCAAGTGACCTCATGATAAGATTTTAAAACCTCACAATGGGGGGTGGGGAGGGGGGCAGCAGATGGCATGGTGGTTAAGGTGCTAGACTCCCACATGACCAACTGCGGTTCGAGTCCCCATCCCTGCAGCTTGAAAATCATGTCGGGAGTGTGTGTGTATGTGTGTGCATTCCCAAAATCCTGAGAGGTGGGTGCAGGGAGATGGGATTACAGCATGATCAACCCCCTGGGGAGATGATTTCCCACTTTCCCTCTCATTGTCTCTCTCTGGAGTACATAGGCCCTATGGCAAAACCTAAAAAGAATAAATAAATAAATAATTCTTCCAATAGTTCTCCTAGCATTTCTCAGTAGCAAAATAGCTCTGTGGCCTGCAAAACACAGAGAAAGCTAAGCCCTCTTTGGAGTGAACTTAAATTTTCAACTTTTATGTTGCCATGGATAGTGCAATGGCCACAGGGACGCTCTGTCCCTGAGATACTTCAAGATATAACCCCCCAAATACAGAATAGCTATGATTTTAACCTTGTACCCAACCAAAGAATGCTGAGAAGGGCCCTTATCCCTAAATGTAAGTTTTATGATCAGACAGTGATCAGGGCCAGATATGATACACATTCAGTAGATAACTTCTTACTAGAAAGTAATTCATGAAGTTTTTCCTCTGTCTTACGAGTTTTCTTAGGGTGGCCCTCAGAACAACTGGATCTTCTGGTATACATCTCTAGTATTCATTGAAAATGGGCTTGTTATTTTAGTGGTGGAATTCAATGGCCTCAAAGTTGGGTCAGCTTGCCTTTGTTGAGTTGTCCACACAAGTTGTCCTCACACTTAAGTACACACAAAAATCACCACTGGGGCTTGTTAGAAACTCATTTTCTTGGCCCACCCCTAGAAATTCTGATTAAACAGGTCAGTGGTTAGATGCAACCATACACATTTTAACAGGCCCCCATGGAAATTCTAAAGCAGGGATTCATAGACCAAAAGAGGAAATCATGGAGGCATTCCTTGTGAAAAATCACAAGGTAATTCCTTGTGAAAACGTGGACTACAACCCTGGTGACGAAGCTAGGAAGCAGGATGTCCCTTTGGCAGGTCCTGAAGTAAACTATTTAGAAAACTGAGGGATTGAATGCAGGATTACCACATGATGCAGCAGTATCATTCCTAGGCATGGACCCAAAGGTATTAAAGCAGGGACTCAAACAAATAATATGCATACTAAAGTTGATAGCAACATTAGTCACAATAGCCAAGAGGGGGAAACAACCCAAATAGCCAGCAACTGAAGAATGGGTTTAAAAATGTGGTGTATTAATACAATAGAATCTTGTTCAGTCACACACACAAAAATACTGATAGATGCTGCAAAATGGAATCAATATAAAAACCCTTTGCTAAATGAAATAAGCCAGACACAAAGGGTAAAAACTGAATGAATCCATTTACAAAAGGTACCTAGAACAGGCAAATTCACAGAGACTGAAAATAGATTAGAGGTTACCAGGGGATGGGGAAGGGAGGAAATGGAGAGCTACTGCTTCCTGGGTACAGAGTTTATGTTTGGAGCGATGGGAAAATTTTGAAAATAGATAGTGGCGATGACCGCACAATGTTGTGCATGTACTTAAGGCCACGACATTGTACTCATTCTTAAAATGGTTAAAATTACACGTTGTACGTCAGATATATTTTACCACAACTTAGAAAAAGTAATGTAATATAGTGAAAAGCCATTGAATTATATATTTAAAATGATGAATTATATGGCATGTGAATAAATAAGCCTTATTGCAAATGTAGGGACTGCATCAGTTCATCTAAATTCCTTTTACTCTTACTTATGTGTCAAGTTGAAATTTTGCTGATAATCCTTCAAAAATGAATGATTTTCTATGAAATGAAAAGGGCTATGACTCTGAGAAGCTAACCAGGTTCTTCATCGTCCTTCATGGGGGTGGAGGACAGAAAGGAAAGATCAAAGTGTCGCCAGGCAGAATACAGTCAGTGTGGGAAACCTTCGTAGCACAGATGTGTGTTGAGTAAATAGATACTTCACAACATAATTATCTTCCTGCCCTTTAACATAGCTCTGTCCATAGATGTCCACGGTTGACTTCTGTTGTACCTCTGGCTCTGTGAACTCAGCCACTTACAAGGCTTCACACATCTGCTTCCACACTATGTGAATGGCTCCCAAGGCGCATTCCAGCACCTCAGACTTCCAGCCCTTCCCGCCCCCCATCTCCGCTTTACTTCAAGTCTTTGTAATTACTTGCCCGCGCTGCTACAGCCTTGATCTCACTCCTGTTCTCAGTAGTCACTGACTCTCGAAGGTCAGAGACCATGACCTCCATCACCACTGTGCCTCTAGCACTGCCACAAGGTTGGAACGAGCTTACTACGTCAAGAAAATTGATTCCTCTAGTCCTCACCTATAGTCCCATGCTCCAAATGCCTGTGAGGTAATTTATTTACTCAATAAGCAACTAATGAGCAACCACTGCATTTCAGAGTTGGAAAAGAGAATGTTCATAGTTTAATGGGGAAATAGACATATAAGGAATTGCTAATATATACTGTTGTATGATAAATGTAATAGATGTACACGTAACTTGCTGAGAAGGCAAAAACGAGAATAACCTGAAAGGGAAGAGGCAACTCCTTTATCATTCCATTTATAAGTTCTTAGAGGACAGGGGCAATTTTTGTTAATCTTTTTTTTGAGAGGCTTTCTGGTGTGTGCGCTCACCAGAAAGACAGAGAGAGACAGAAAGTGAGAAATCACCCCCCGGGGAGTATGGCCACGCTGCAATCCCTTCTCCTCCATTCTCTTCTCAGGATGTTGGGCACACAAGCACATGGGCCCGGCATGAGTTTAAGCCACCGGGTCTGGGACTTGAACCTTGGTTAACTATATGGGAGTCAAGCAACACAGCCATTACGCCAACTGCTGGTCCCAGTTTTTGTTAATTTTTTCATTCCCCTTTAAGCAACCTAAGGTGATGTCTGCATCACTTAATAAATACCCATTAAATACATTAATATGTAAATAATAGAATGGGGCAGATTGCAACATCTGGCACCAAACATCTCTTACAGGCATGTGTCACTTCATAGTGGGATACGTTCTGAGAAATGCATCATCAGATGATGTCATCAATGTATGAACATCTCAGAGTGTACTTACTCAGACCTAGGATAAAGGCACACCTAGGAGAGCCTAGATGCTTTTTCTAAGACTGCTGTCACTAACACAGCTCATTATTGACCAAAACGTTATTATGTGCACGTGACTGCTTACATGCATTTGCAAATCTGTAGGCTTCACACATTGTTGATCTCACATCCTGGAGGAGCATATAAACCTCTTCTTTGTTATCTCGACTTAAGCCCACTTATGCAGCAGCACGTGCAGTTATGGTAACATACTAGGAGTTTTGCTTTCCCTTTCACATGCTTTTTTCAATTCAGTGAACAGTTACTGAAGAACTCTACATATATTCAAGTTGCTCTCCTGGCTTCACAGAGCCAAGGGAGAATGCGCTGGCTAGAGCTGGGCTTCCCTGTCTGTGCCACTGACATTACATATACATCTTTGCAGGTAGGGACACCCTTTGTTTATTAAAGAGGCAACCAAAGAAAAGGCCTAGCATTGATTCTCCATGTTCTTGTCCTTTGGCCAAGTCTTCATGCTGGAATTATTTTAGTCTTATTTCTATTGCTTTGGGAAAAAAAAGAAAAAAAAAAAAAACCAAAGGACCAGCAGTTGGCATAATGGCTATGTTGCTGGACATCCATGTAGCCAACTGCAGTTCGAGTCCTGGACCTGGTGGCTTAAACTCACGCCGGGCACGTGTGCATGTGTGCCCAAGATCCCAAGAGGAGAATGGAGGAGAAGGGGTTGCAGCGTGGCCATCCTCCCAATGGGTGATTTCTCGCTTTCTGTCTCTCGGTCTCTCTCTGTCTTTCTGGAGAGCACACACACCCTATAGCAAAAACCTTTCAAAAAAAAAACCCTTGGCAAACCACAGGGTAGTTTTTGAGAACTTCCTGAGGAATGGAACTAGAAAAAAGAGTAAGAACATGTTGTAGCTCCAGGATAACTGTTCCAAAATAGGTCTACTTCTGACCCTCTTAGGTGGGTGGAGTCCAACAGCCTATAGAAGATTGCTTTGTAAACTGTAAAGTACATAGGAAGGGGCTTCAAAAGGCTTGTGCAAAAATAAAATTAAATGTGAGTTTGTTTTAGTACAAAAATATTAGAAACCCATGCAACTTTTTTTTTTAACTAATATGCATTTTCCATGAACTTTTCAAGCCCCCTCACATGACTGTTAGTTATAATGATTAGGATGATGATTGTCCCACCATAAAAGACTGAGTTGGGTCCTATTTTCTCCTATTTTCCCATATCCCACAGCTCTTACTGACCTGAATGTTGATACGGACTCTCCGGCTCAGAAGGACTTCCTGGGGAGTGAGGGTAGCTGGCCATGCATGGGGACTGTGAGAACATGTGGCTAGGAGAGGGAGGGAGTGCAGAACACGGAGGCTGCTGGAACGAGTCTGGGTAGGTGGCGTTGTGCGGCATGAGTGGTTCACTGTGCAGGGAGGCACTGCGGAACTTGGCCAGGAGGCTGAGCTGTGGGTTATACTCGCTGTGTCTTGGCACTAGCACAGGAGGAAGCACTACGATAAGAAGAGAATAGAGTTAGAACTGAATACTGCCCATCAGTACAGAATAGAGTCGGCCCTTGCTGGTTTTCTCGGCTGTCATTTTGATAATAAAACTCTTTTCCTTTAGGAACTACCTCTTCACTATTCTTTATGCTCATCATGAAACTGTCCATTAAAGCCCCATCTCCACTGAAGAAGTGGGCATGTAAGTCAGACTACACCAAGTCTTTCTCCTTGTACCCAGAGTCTTAAGCAGACTGTCACAATTAATGAAAATGTCTATTATAGGAGGATTTTTGCCAGGTCAGCACTCTAAAGAGACTGCCTATTCATTCCTATCACAGAAATGATGGGATGGCTCAAATATCAGGGGTCCAAAAGTTCATGGAAAATGAGTATTATGAACAGACTATACAAGGATTTCAATTTTTTAGTTGTTTATTTTTATTCATGATAGAGACCACAAATGTACACATGAAAAAGAGAACAAGCAGCACCTCCAACAGGGTCCACTCATGTCACAATCCTTCTTCCTTGACCCTCTAGTACATCAGGATCTTATGCATACACCCAGGCATCCAGTGTGTTTCAAGCAGACACAGGGTTCCAAACCTGTGGCCATCCACGTAGATTCCAGCACTGGAGTTCGGTTTGCTATACTGACTGCACCATCAGGCTGGGCCTCAAAACTTTTTTACACTAAAATTAACTTATACTTACCATTTTTCCATAAATGTTGTAAACCTCCCTAGTCCTTAGCTTATGGAGATCTAATGGTCTACGTCTCCATTTAATTCTGCCACCAAAAGTTTTTTCTTTTAAAGGCTAAATTGGTTTATATTGTTTTCAATGAAACCCTGAGTAAAGCCCAGAATATGTTTCCTTTATGGAGCATACTGAATTATTTAGATGATCCTCCTCAAATTTCAGGTTCAGCTGTACTGCTAAAATAAAACATTCTCTAGGTCCTTACTGGAAAGACTGCAAGGTAAACAATGAAAAATCATTAAATAAAATAAAACTGGTAAGTAATAATGAAAGTACAGAGCAAAATAATAAGTGTAAAGCAAATAACAAGATAAATAGCAATAAGAAAGCCTATGAATTTTATTTTCATATGCTTCCTCTAGGTTCCATTCTTTAAAAAGAACACAAATGTCCCTAATCCTGATCCTATTCAAAATTTAGGAATAGATTCAAATTCTCCAGGAAACGTCATCCCGGCACCTACATCTTTCATTGATTTCTAAAATGTGACGGTGTTTGTCATAAAGGAGGTCTCCATACAAATGCCACTGGTGATCAACCTAAATTCCAGAGAAGCTGATTAAATAGAGGGGAAGAGATCAAAGAAATAACAGAAGAAAACTTCTCAGAGCTAAAAAGGACCTATGTCATCAGACAGAAAAAAGTCCTGGCATGTGCAGAGCCCAATTAATGAGAAAAGATCCAAACTAATATTATGATATAATTGTCCCATCTAGGTAAAAAAAACAAAGGCAGTGAATGCTTGTAAAGAAAACTGATGGTTTCATCCTATTATTCAACACTTCCACTCAAAGTATAGCTACCCTTAATTATGAAATTCTATTTCCACATCTCAACCTAGTCTACAAATGTGATTTCGTGAGCTCAGACACTTGTTTCTATGTAAAGTCACCTTTTTCATCTTTCCATGTAAGTGTTACACAGGGGCGAACAGCAGTGGGTGCGTGGGGGTGCAAAGAAGTGCTAAAAACCCTCGTCTCTTTTTCAAAAATCATGTGGTTTTAATAGAGTGTGGATATTTTATGTAAAGGAGAAATTACACTTCTGAAATGGCCTCTTGATGCAAACAGTAAAATCATCATGTACTTCAAAAAATTTTTTGCATGGCTTCTACTAAACTCATGCCAGACAAAGCATGATCTGAGACACTTACTGACCTCTGGGTCCTAATCCACAAAGAGATAATCATTAAAATTGAGAGCCAAGTGTTCAGATTTTAAATTACTATTACTTTTAATAGTAATTTTATCACTGTTGAAATAATTTTTTAAACTAGGTTTATATTTCCTAAGTCTTTCAATTTTCATTTGTCTAGTAATTTATTTTTATTGTAAAAACATTGATTTGAAGGATTGGAAATTTAAAAAACAAACACTGGTCTCCCACTGTATATCAGTTGAGAAGCACTGAAATAGATTATTTAAGTGGATGTGTGAATGAAAGAAATGGGAATGCAGCTTTCGATGTACCTAAAATGGACTGTCAAAACATGAGAGATTTCAAAGGCAAACCTTGAGCTTTATGGTAATCAGGAACACAACAAACTTAACAAATTCATTATTCTCAAAATATTTATTTCGAACATGGCTAGACAGCTAGATATAAAATTCAATTTTTCTATTAAAAAAAAGCAAATTAGGAGTAAAACAAAAGCCATTTTTTAAAAACATTACCTTGAATTAATATTTACTAATCTTTCATTCTTGAAATTCAAATCTAAAGTCATGACATGAAATCTATCAACCATATGTAAAATATTCACACTACCATTCCTAAAGGCACATTATACGCTATGAAAAGTAAAATAATTCTTTAAGAATTCAGTTTTTGAGTATTCAAAAGGAAAGCCAGACACATTTTACAAGACACTTCTTAAAATTGTACTCAGGAAGAAAAATGATTTCTTAATGATTGTTTTTCCAACTGGGTATATCAAAATATACCCAATGGTGCTTACTACAACTCGAATCTTTGATATGCAAAAAGGAATCAAGTCATTTTTGTCATGAACTTAGACAATACTGACTTTTTCTTTTAAGTATGCAAAGAGAATAAAAAGAGAAGCAGGAAAGGAAAGAATACAAAGACCTCCATGATTTAAGGAAAACATCAGATTTGCCAAGGGTGTGTGACCTTCTATAACACCTTGTCACACAGGGATTCAGTGGATGGCTGAAGTGGCTGTGAGAAGCATCCACACACAGGCAGATGACTTCTTTGACAACTAGTTTACAACATGATGGCAAATCTGGAGACCTGAAAGGTTGCCCAACTAAGACTGACGTGGGTTGGCCATGTATCAGTTACCCAAGACTGCTTTCAGGTTAGCTGACCCCTGGGGCCTGCCTACCTAGACAGGATTGTCTCCTAATTGGACATGGGCAATTTCCCTCCGCGAATGTGTCAGCCCTTTGGTTTCCTGGAATGAGGCAGATGGCCAATCAAAGAGAGAAATAACTCCCGTAAAAAAGTATTCCGCCCTGGAATGTCATTCAATCCAAAGAGAATCACAGTAAAACATGGTTACAGCTAGTATGAAGAAACAAAGATAAACACCAGACTTCTCCAGAAAGGATGAGAAGCACAAAGAGAAGTTTGTGGGAAAATGGAATTCCAGTACAAGTTTATTTTGAGGCAAAAACATTTTGAAATTCATGTAGAGCTTTTTCATCATATGCATTGTCTGTGAACTTTTTGAGAACTTGTATATGCGCATGCACACATATGAAGAGTTTTAGAACAGCACCTTCCTAGATTTTTAAACAATTGCCAATCTTCCTATGACCCCTGCTATTTTCAATACTCAAATGATTTCCAGCAGTTCTCTCTTGGCTGTTTTCAGACAGGAGATACCTTCTACTTACTCGAGCTTGGGAGAAGCGGCAGCCAGAACACCATCTTTGTTTGGTTCAATCAGTACAACTCAGTTTGTTTCATGGGGGGAAGGGAGGTGCAGGGAGGAGGATGTGTACTTTTGCTCATTTCAAGCTGATCATTTCAAGGACATTTTCAAACCTTTCAGGTCCCCCAAACTGGGAAAAGATTATGACGAGACATAATCTTTTACCTATTACCAAAATAAAGCTCATTTTCCTTAATCACATAAGCTTATATGTGTATTACAATAAAAATAGCCTCTGGCCAAACCAGGTGGTTAGTGGCACAGCAGTAATGCAGCTGGACCCACGTGGGCAGGTCCTGGGCCCTGTCCCAGGGCCTTCCTGAGCATGCCAGGCTTATGAGCCTGGGATCTGGGCCAGTTGAGACTGGAAGTGAACTACAGCATAAAGATTCTGTTGGGGTGCCTCTCTCTCTTGCTCTCTGGAAGAAAGAAATACACTTAAAATACACACACACACACACACACACACATGTATCTTCTTTCTAGATTATTCTGATTAAAATATTTTGGATTCGTTTCTCTAAATTGAGCCTCCCTCTCTTCATTATTTTTCTTCTGGTAGATCCTCCATCACTCTCCATCAACAGAACAGCTAAACTTAACTCTGAAAATAACCATGCCATCATGAAGAAAACCCACCTGGAGTCTCCACCCGGCGGTAGTGGTAAGGGTTAATGCACACCTCTTTCTGCTTGGAGCCAAATGGGAACTCACAGCATTCCAATGGCTTCAACTCGTGGTGAGACTGGAGATCCGGCCAACGCCACACTCGGCAATAAATAACATGGGGCAAACCCTTGCGGTGAGACACCTGCAGCCGCCCATCCAGAGACCGTGGAATCGTGACACATTTGCTGGGCTGGCCAGGACAGCTGAGGGCCCTCTCCAGTTCATCCATAGCTCCTTTTTTCTTCTTTAATTTCTTCACTAGAGAGTCCACTGCCTTCTCTGCCCACTTTTCCTCTTCATCTCCTTGCTTCCAGCCTAGCAGTCTCTTCACTGCGGGGCTGGTGAAGGAGAAGAGGGAGCTGATGGGGGTGCTGGAGTGCATATGAGGTGGGCCGCAGGCGTCTAGTGCACACAAAAACAGACTCGGCCCTCACGGCCTGCAGGGCCTGGGTGAAGTCAGCAGCAAGTAACTCTCCAGGGATGTCATAGGTACAAACTTTCCTTTTCTTCTGGAAGCAATGGTGACCACTTCAAATTGGGAAGTGTATTGACCTTCTCCCAAGGCCCTGAATGGGCTGACCAGCTCTGAGAAACAAGACAAGACTAGAATGAGCTTCAATAGGGTAATTTTCAGGAAAGGTAAAGATTGGATGGAGGGGGAAGAAATATCTTTTTTTTTTTTTTTGAGAGATTTTTGCTATAGGGCACGTGCACTCGCCAGAAAGACAGAGACAGAGAGACAGAAAGCGAGAAATCACCCCCCAGGGGAGACAGCCATGCTGCAATCCCTTTTCCTCCATTCTCCTCTCAGGATCTTGGGGACACACGCACACTCACCCGGCATGAATTTAAGCCACTGGGTTCAGGACTCGAACCACGGTCGACTACATGGGAGTCCAGCAAAATAGACATTACACCAACTGCTGGCTCAAGAAAGAATTATCTTAAATGTTTTAACTTGAAAACTTAGTCATCTTTCCATTTTTTGTTTGTTTTTAAGAGAATTTTCCTATCAGGTGTGTGCACTCCTGAGAGAGACAGAGAGAGAGAAAATGAGAAATCACTCCCCAGGAGGATATCCACACTGCAATCCCTTCTCCTTCATTCCACTCTTGGGATTCTAGGCACACATGTACGCCTTCCTGGTTGAGTGTCAAGCCACCAGATCTGAGACTCAAATCGTGGTTGGCCATGTGGGAGTCCAGCACCTTAACGCCTACGTGACTTGCTGGCCCCTAACTCTTGGTCATCTTTGACTCTTCCTTCTCCTTTATCCCCTCTAGCCCGTCTGTGGTCATTCTGCCATCAAAATGCATTTCAGAGTTTGTCTCTTTCTCTCTGCTTCTGTCAACACCTGACGTCTAGTCACTCACCTTGATACCTGCACCAACCTCTGAAGTAGCCTCTCTCCTCCTCTCTTCAAATCATTTTCCACTTACTCCAAAACACAACTTTTACCAAGTCATTTATTTTCTAATTCAAGAAGTAATGTGGCTCTTTGGCTTCCCAAATGTGAACTCTTCTGCCTGGGTTCTCATGGCCTGCACAATCTTCCTCCAACACACTTTCTTTCTTCTACTTTGTATTGTAATCTAGCAAATATGTACAAAGAAAAAGAAAAAATGTGGATTGCTAATAATCTCTCCATTCAGGAAGGGTCACTCTTAATATATATTCCTTTAAACTACTTCCTAGGGTACTACTTCTCAAAGTGTGTCTCAAGGTTCCCTAAGTGTCCTTAAAACACTCTTTGGGGGCCAAGAGGTTCTCCCTTTTCCAATTACTTATCTGTGTGAACTAAACTGTCTTCATAAACTTCAAGCCAAACAACATATCACAACAGATTTTAATACAGAAGCACATATGAGAATCCACATGTCATCTGTTAAAAATATTTGCAAAGAAGCCAGAAGGTGGCATGGTGGTTAGGGCACTGAACTCCTACATGGCTAACTGAGGTTTGAGTCCCAGATCAAGTGGCTTGCTTTCTCACTCTCCCCTACCCTGGTGAGTGCACATACCCTATAGCAAATTAAATAATAATAATAATAATAGTAATAATAAAATTAAATCATTCTTTTAAAAAAGATTCACAAAGATATAAAACAATGACACTCTTCTCATTAATCATTTTGAAATATAGTTTTTTAAAATAAAAATGTTCATTAATATGTAATGGATTTATTACCTTTTTAAATGAATCAAAATATTTAAAAAGTTTTCAGGGCTAACTCTGTGACCTGGTTAAGGCTGCTGGAGCACATAGGACTAACCATGTGATTCAAGTCATGGAACTGGCAGCTTGGGAGACATGCCAGGCACACGTGTGTGCATGTGCAGAGTCCTGAGCAGAGAGACATGGAGGAAAGGGATTGTGGTGCTACCATTCCCTATGGAGGGTGCTTTCTCCTCTCTTTCTCTCTCTGCCAAATAGGGCACACATTCTCCAGGGGGTAGGGGAGGAAGAAAAGAAAAAAAAAATTCAGTATTAATTTCCTAAAATGGTAAAAATTGATAAATATAACCTACCATAAACAAAGTTCTTCAAAGCCTTAATAGACTTGATTTTTTAAATGATGTGTGTGCACAAAAGAGAGAGACAGAGACACAGAGAGAGACAGAAGCATCCTTAACAAAGTTCCCTTTCCTCAGCCCACTATCGCAATCCACCTTCTGCTCTCGCTGCTCAGGATCCTGGGCACACATGCAAGTTTTCGGCCCGTCTGGGTCTCCGACCCTGTGGTCAGCCATGTGATCTCCAGTACACTACTGACTGCACCAAGGCTGGGCCAGAGCGCTGACAAAGTTTTTAAAGTGACAAGGAGTCGTAAGACCAAAATGTCTGAGAAATGCTTTTCTAGGAGTTACACAGTCACATACACAAACACACACACTAAAAAGTGTGGTGTCACATTTGTTATTTGGTCTGAAAATCAGCTGAATTTCTCTTTGCTCTTTTATCCGAAGGAGACATGCTTTTCCAGTTATTCAACTGGCCCATTTAAATGTCCTGAGGTAGAACAGCATTTCATCTTTTACAAACTAGCTAGCTTACACAAAACCTTCTCCTTTCTGATTTTAGAAACCAGCTCCCTGGACTCCCACGTAGTCGACCGTGGTTCGTGTCCCGGACCTGGTGGCTTAAAACTCACGCCGGGTGCGTGTGCGTGCGTGCCCAAGATCCCGAGAGGAGAATGGAGGAGAAGGGATTGCGGCGTGACCATCCCCCCTGGGGGATGATTTCTCGCTTTCTGTCTCTATGTCTCT